ATGCTTCCTTCTTGTGCCCTCTTGTGCAACCATCTTGGAGTGGTACAACACGTGCCCATGCACGTTGGCTAAGACCTCTAAGCAAGCCATGTCATAGCTCAACTGATGTGTTCAACAGACCCCCCTAGTATAGTCTTAAGGAAAATCAGCACTCTGACAGGAGTAAACATCATATATGCTTGAGGAGTCATAAAGGCCTTTCAGGCCCTTCCCGACATCCAAATCGAGTGCCATCTATGCCAACCATCTTCTATAGACTCAAGGTACCTCCCATAAAGATCCTGAGCCAAAACTCCAAAGTTCACTTTTTCGCCATATTTACGAAAATGCCACTGGACACCCCTAGTGCACGCGGAGCATCCTTCTAAGCATCTAGTGTGCACGCTGAGCATCCTGTGCACACTGACAACCCACTAAGCATCCTCGTGGCTGTCTAACTAGAACCAAAGTGTTCCAAAGACATGGCATGGCCCTAAATGCCTATGTCTTCCCTTGGACCAATGTCAAGGGGCTAACAAACCACCCCCACCAAAAGAAATCGACGCCCTCGTCGACTTGTCCAAGTACTCCCTTACCTGTTTATCAAACTGCTACAATGTCACATCCCTTTCCCAACTCGCCTCTACTTCACTGCATCCTTTCCACTGCACCAAGTAATCAGTTCTGTGATATTTCTTACTCTGACCCTGGGTCCGGTGAGACAAAATCTTCTCCACCTCCTTGTTAAACTGCAACCGAATAACAAATGGGGCTCTCTTAGCCTGCTGTTTTGATGTATCTGCAGTGTCTTCATGAAAAAGGCTTAAGAAAACTCACATGAAAAATAGGATGGACTTTCAGCCTCTCAGGTAATTTCAATCTGTAAGCAACATTTCCCACTTTCTTCACAAATTCAAAGGGACCATCATACTTCTGAATCAGCCTTCTGTGAACAGTCTTGCTGTTTATCTTATTCCAAATCTGTGGAGTCAACTTCAACAGAACCTTGTCCCCCACTTAGAACTCTAATGGCCTTCTCCCTTTATCTGCATACTTCTTCATCCTTCTAGCAGCCTTGGCAATGCTGTCCTGCGCCTCTTCCACCATCTCTTGCATGGAATGGGCATAACGGTATGCTGCAGGGCATCTTCCACCAGTCCTCTGCACTGCCACCTCCTGTGGTGTGCGAGGTTGTTACCCTATTGCCAACTCAAAGGGACTCATTCCTGTTGCTGAAGACCTGTGCAAATTATATGAAAATTGTGCAGTGTCTAATAACTCCAGCCAATTTTTTTGACTTGCAGTGACATAGTGCCTCAGGTACTCTTCCAATAACTGATTCATCCTTTCAGTCTGTCTGTCAGTCTGAGGATGGTTTGCTGTGGAGAACTTCAGTTCAGAACCCATCAAGCCAAATAGCACTGTCTAGAAGATTCCCGTAAATCTGGTGTCACGATCACTAACAATATCCTCGGGCAAACCAAAATATTTTACCACAAACTTATGAAATAAACCAACAGCAACTTTCGCTGGGCATGCATGTGGTGCAACAATGAAAATTACATACTTAGAGAATCTATCTACTATAACAAAAATAGATCTCATACCTTCCACCTTAGGAAAACTAGAAATGAAGTCCATTGAAACTGACTGCCATGGACGCTCTGGTATAGGCAAGGGTTGCAGTAGCCCTGCCTCCTTCTTCCTCTCATGCTTGCTGTAATACCCCGTATTTTATTAAAGAATTTAGTTTATTTAATTAATTAATGTGTAGATTTCTTTACCATTCTTATATTGAGTTCATTTAATGGTGCATGTATTATTATTAATAATTTTATTTGTTGATTATGTTTAATTAAGCATTATTAGTTAATTAAAGTATTATATTTGTGTTATATAGTATTATGATGATATAATGTATTTTTACGTAATAATAATAATAATAATTATAATAGTTTAATAATAATAATATTTATAATAATAATAATTATAATAGTTTAATAATAATAATAATAATAATATAATAATAATAATAATAATAATATTTATAATAATAATAATAGTATTAAATCATAAGTCATGATGAAATTAGAGATTAGGATAGGATTTCATTAATATTTATGGGTAAGACTTGAAGCCATATGGTTGGGAATGTGGTTAGTTAAATGCAAAATTAGATATTTGTAATATTTATATTATATAAATTGTATATAAATTAGCTAGCCTACCTTAGAAGGAATGGAAGGGAGTTAAAAAAAGTTATAATTTTTAGTGAGCCATTGTAAAAGTGTGGAAAGGAAGAGAGAGAAAAAAAGGAGCTTGGACCGGTGTAGGAGAAATTTACCCGATTACGCGCAACCGGCGGATTTATTTTAAATCCAAAAAGGCAAGTTATTATCTACTTTTCCCCTTTGAATTAATAAATTAATTGTTTAGTTTATTTTCATGCATAGAGACCAGGTTATGAGGTTAATAAATTATTAATTTTAGTTTATTAAATTAATAAAATTTTAATTATATAGGATGGTATATATTTATTTAATATCCTATGAAATTAATAATGGCTGAAAATAATTAAATAAGGCTTTAGGGATTTCTCTAGAATTTTCTAGATTTTTCCGGGGCTTTTCTGCAATTTCCGGCGAGACTCCGGCGAGTTTTCCGGCCACCGGCAGTGAGGAAGGTGACCGGAGTTATCTGGTGTGTTGCGGTGTATTGTAATAAGCATGCGCATGGATCAGCAGTCGTTAGATGGGTTGTGAATCCTTAGATTGATTCGGTGTAGCGCGGGACACCATATGATGGTGCATGTTAATCATCAGCCGCAGGATGAAAGGAGCTTAGGTGGATTGATCCGGTGTGGCGCGCATGTAGGAAAGATGATGCAGCCAACCAACCGGAGGACGCCGCGTCAGCAAGAAGCCATCAATGCGCGCGTGGGAGCGCGTGCGCGCGCGTGGCTGATGCCAGACGCGCGTGGAGGCGCGTGGGAGAGTGGGGAAGGTTGGGCTGCGCGTGGGGAAGCTTAGGGTGGCGCGTGGGGGCGCGTGAAGGGCCCTGTCAGCTGCTGGAAATTACCAGAATACCCCTAGGGCCTGTTTTGTAAATTCCAGAACCTTAAACGTGGATTTTTAGGTACTGTATTGGTATTTACGGGTTTAACGGGCCACGAAATTATTATTTTAATTCCCGTTAATTATTCTTATGACCGATTAATCTTTTCTAAGCATTTATTGGCTCGTTACCAGTACGGATATTAATGTGATTTATTTAACGACATTGTTAAATATAGATGGTGTTATTATTTTATTAAATGGTATTAATCATTGCTTTGAAATTAAATAATGCCATGGTTTTAGTCATATAAATTATCCATCTTACATTATGGGATGTTTATACTGTTAATCATATATAAACCATGATTATTATGCTATGTGCATTTCAGAGAATAAATGGACTGTTTAATTATGTCGCATTTATATTATATGGATGTGTTGCCATATAGAACCATGTGAGCTGGCTAATAAGTTTAGACTCATTTATACCTTATGCATTCGTTACTATAGACAGATGTGTGGCTGTCGGGGTATGTGGTTTAATATTATTGGCATGTGTTGCCTAATTGACATGCTCAGTATGTTTAGTAATATTATTGGCATGTGTTGCCTAATTTATATGCTCAGTATATTCATCAGTACTTTGAGAGGTGTTATCACTGTGTAGTTCGTTATAGTCTGTGTTGTCAGTACCGTGCACCATGTATAATAGCTGATTTCCCGGGTAGGGAAAGGCGACACTTAACCACCTAGTGTGAGTCTAAGTGATCACCGTCTATTCTGGTTGAGGTCATGTTATACATTGGATAGTTCCCTTAGGATGTATGCAAATATAGTACTCGTCCGATTCATAATGATTAATTTATTTGATTCTCTGATTTGGGTCATAGTAGAGAGGACTTGCTCGTGGGGTTGACCCACCATTGTTGTTATTTCAGGATACGGTCAGTACCCGTTCCAAGGTTGAGGTTAGCAGTGAGGGACCACCATCCGAACTCATCTACTCTTACGATCCAGTTCAGGGTAGAAGTTTTATGTATTACTTCAGTTTCAGTTTTTATTTACTTTTAACGTTGAACTCTCAGGTTTATATTTAGGGATTCTTGACATAGGATTTCCAAGTTGTAATGGAGTACTGTATTAAATAAAGGTTGGATGGATGTTGTATTGTTTAGTGTTCCTTTCCTGTCTAAATTCTTTATTTATCATCATTTTGTATTCTATGCTTGTATATTGCCAATTGTTTTTGATATCCCTCGTTTTTCGTGTATAAGCCTGATCAACTTATGCGTGGAAAATGTTGGGGGTGTCACACTTGCCTTTCTGACAGACTAAGTAAGTCTTGACATATAACTCTATGTCATTCTCCATCTTGGGCCAGTAATATGATCTGGATATCAACGCCAGCATTCTATCCACCCCTGGATGTCCAGCCCATTGAGTATCATGCATCTCCCGCATTAGTTCCCGTCTCAACCCTCCAACAGGAACATATAATCTATCTCCTCTGGCGTAGAGTAGATTATCTTCAATACAGTACTTTCTGACTTCACCATCAACAACCTGTAGCTTAAGTTTCTGATAGGCATTGTTAGACTGAGATTGTTCTTTGATTCTGTCAAGGAAATCAGTATACACCGTTGTAAGCGACGCCACATACTCCTGCACTTCTCTTATACTCAAGGCATCAACAACCTGATTCTGCTTTCCAGACCTGTGAACCCACACAAAATTGAACTCCCCCAAAAACTCCTGCCAACAAGTTTGCTTTGGAGTAAGCTTCTTCTGTGTCTTGAAATAGGTATTGGCCACATTATCAGTCACCACTGTAAACTTGTTACCCAACAGATAGTGCTTCCATGCGTTAAGACAATGTATCACTGCAGTCATCTCCTTCTCGTGAGTTGTATACCTCTGCTTAGCATCCTTAAGCTTCCTGCTTTCAAAGGCACAGGGGTGTCCCTCCTAGACTAGGACCCCACCAATTGCTCTGTTAGAGGCATCAGTATGCACTTCAAATGGTAAACCAAAGTCAGGCAGTCTCAAGACCGGTTCTGTAGACAATGCCTGCTTAAGCATCTCAAAAGCTTTCTGGCACTCCTCAGACCAAACCCACTGTTTGTCCTTCTTTAGTAAGTCCGTTAAAGGACTGACCTTCTTGGAATACCCCTTTATAAACTTTCTGTAGTAGTTTGCCAATCCTAGAAAGGATCTCAACTCTGTAACTTTAGTTGGTACAAACCAATCAAGAATGGCTTTCACCTTTCGCTTATCCATTCTGACATGGCCTTTACTGATCCAATATCCCAAAAACAACACTTCTTGGCGACAAAACTCACACTTCTCCTTTTGACATATAACTGAAACTCCTTTAGTTTTGAGAAAACCAATCTCAAGTGTTTTAAGTGATCTTTCAAGGACTCACTATAGACTACTATATCATCCAAATAAACAACAACAAAACGATCGATGTAGTCATAAAACACATTATTTATTAAGTTACAGAAAGTTGTCGGGGCATTAGTTAGCCCAAACGGCATTACAAGAAATTCATAAGACCCATAACGAATTACATATATAGTTTTGGGTTCATCTCCTTCTACTATACGCACCTGCCAGTAGCCTACACGTAAATCCAGCTTAGTAAAGTAGGATGCCCTTGACAACCTGTCAAATAAATCTGCAGCATTAGGCACTGGGTACTTGTTCTTCACAGTCACCCTATAGTCCACACACATCCGCATTGAGCCATCATGCTTCTTCTAGAACAACACTGGCGCGCCATACGGTGCCTTGGATGGTTGAATATAGCCAGACTCCAGTAACTCATCCAACTGTCTACGCAGTTCAGCCAATTCTGAAGGCGTCATCCGGTATGGGGCCTGAGCAGGAGCCCTAGTACCCGGCTCCAACTCAATTTTGTGATCAACAGCACGTCAAGGGGCCAATTGCTTGGGTAGTTCTGGTGGCATCACTTCTGCAAATTCCTCTAGAATTTCAACAACAGAATCCGGAACTTCAACAAACTGGTCCAGTTTGATCTTTATCATGGCTGCAAGAAAGGTAAAGTCTCCCTTCTTCAAACCTGTTTTCACTTGCAATGCAGAGATTATTTCGATGCAGCCATATTTACGATCTTCCTTCTTCTGGTGCCCATAAAGAGCCACTGATGGAATAAAACATGGACAATCCTTGTCCCAAATAAAAATTCCTCCCAGATATGGCACAACTACCACTCTGGCTTTCATAAGGAAATCAATTCCAAGGATTAGATCAAAATCATCTAAGGGTACAACCATAAGACTAACTACACCCTCCCAACAACCAACTTTCATAGATTTGGTGGCCATGCCTAAGATAAGCTTGGCTTCAGAATTCATGGCCTTCATCTTATTAGCATGCGAAATTAACTTTAAGTTAAAGTTACTTACTTCCCTCTACGCAATGAAGTTATGAGTGGCCCCCGTGTCCACCATTGCCAATACTTCCTTGTCGTTCAGTGTCACTTGAATGAACATGAGCCCTTTCAACTCCATGGACTATTCTTCAGTAAGAGAATTCAACATTTGCAGAGAATTGACTCAGGTTGGACCACATTCCGAGTCTGAGTCTCCTTTTAAATCAGCGACAATAACACTCAGCTTCTCCCTCTTGGGGCAGTCCCTAACACAGTGGGGACCATTGCAGATAAAACAACTGGAGTTGGGCTTAGTCCCATTGCTATTCCCTTTGTTATTGTAATCTACCTTGGCCTTGACAAAGCCACTGCCTTTATCCTTCTTTTGATTCTTGTCCTTCTTCTTGTCCTTAAAACTGAAGGACTGGCCTTTGTCTTTTTTCCCCTCCTTGGACTTCTTCTTATTTTGTGTGGTAGATCCAGTCATCTTAAAATCTATAAGACAATCTGCCGCTGTCATGGCAGTAGGAAGGTCCCTCACACCTTGCCTTCGGAGTTCTGCCTGAGCCCATGGTTGCAATCCGGACATGAAATTGAACAGCTTGTCCTCCTCTGACATATTTCGAATGTCCAGTATCAAGGAACTAAAGTCCTTCACATAGTTACGAACGGTGCCTGTGTGCTTCAATTTCTTCAGAGATTCCCTTGCAATCCATGCAGTGTTCTGAGGCAAGAACTGGTCCTTCAATTCCTTCTTCAGGGTCTCCCAAACATCAATCCAAGGCCTACATACAGAAACATCATCCTCTGTCCGTGTGCGCCACCATAGTTTTACATCACCAAACAGATACATGCTTGTTATGGTCACCTTTTCGCCATCGGGGATCCGAGCAGCCTTGAAATACTATTCCATGTCCCATAGGAAATTCTCCAACTCTTTGGCATTTCGGGGACCACTGAAAGACTTGGGATCCGGCACCTTGATCTTCTGTGAAAGAGGATCACCACCGCCTCTGGAACTCCCATGAATGGCCCTCTTCACCAATGACACTTCACCTTCAAGTTCTTCTTGAAGACGTCAGTCAATGACTCAACATCTTCAGAGATACGGGTCAATTGCTCTTTGGTGGCCTACATGAAGTCACCAAACCCATCAGGATCAGTCTTTAAGATCTCCATTTCAAAAGCCAAGTTTTCGATTTGAACAACAAGGCTTTCTGCACCATCTTGTACCTATGTTTCTGTAAGAAAACCCACAAACTCTTCCAAACAGGAAACTGTCTCACGAGTATTGCCTCCAGCCATCGTAGAACAGGGCTCTGATACCAATTGTTACAGGACTAAATCACACCACAAATTTTTACCTCTGTAATGGCACTTGGGGCCACCAAGTCTCAGCCAACACACAACACAATACACGCAATACTGAAATGTAAAGAAGGCACACACAATTTACAGGGACAAGCCCCAACCTTTGCTCATATTAAATGTATTACAAAGGACACCAAACTCGTACAAGGAACTAAGTCTCAACACTCACTGTGTCTCTACCCCAAACCATGCCCCTTGCATCCCAATATATAGGCCCTCAAGAAAACCGCCCATAACTGGTTTTATGTATCTACATATAGATACACACAGTTAAGGTTGACATGCCCAACCTTCTAGGTAACTGCCCACAATCTTATCCCACTTAAGGTTGACATGCCCAACCTTCTAAACAACTGCCCCACAATCTGATCCCACTAAATCTAGCAGTTTCTTCCCTCAACTGCTTATTTTATCTGTGACATACTCAGTTGGACAACCCCCAACTGCTAGGAACTGCCCTGAACCGCTATAAGACATACAACATGTCATATATCTTATCATAACCGAATATAAGCCACAAGACATATAATATGAAACAATTGAACATAAGCCACTCAGCGTATCTCAACTGCTCCCCCATGTCTTTTCTTGATTGGATCATTCCTTGATAAGCACACTTGCTGCCCACCAAGTAATATGTGGGTGCCATGGCCTTAGCCATGGTCCACGAGCCATCTTGAGTCAAGCCGACAAGTCTGAACCCAAATATAGATGTCTCTGAGTGCACGATGTGCCAAGCCATGCACGCCCGTGTGCACGTCCGAGTGTAAACCCGGATGCACGTTCATAAGCGCGCTGCTGCACGCCGGTGCACACGCTGGTGCTCATCAACGCGAGCCATGCTTGAACGCCCATGTGCATGTGGTTGCACGCCCACGCGCACACCGTGTTGGACGCCTGCCCGCCCGCCCATTAAGCCCTTCATTAGTTTGGATGCTTCCTTCTTGTGCCCTCTTGTGTAACCATCTTGGAGTGGTGCAAGACGTGTCCATGCACGTTGGCTAAGCCCTCTAAGCAAGCCATGCCATAGCCTAACTGATGTGCTCAACAGACCCCCCTAGTATAGTCTTAAGGAAAATCAGCACTCTGACAGGAGTAAACATCAACAATGCTTGAAGAGTCATAAAAGCCTTTCAGGCCCTTCCCGACATCCAAATCGAGTGCCGTCTGTGCCAACCATCTTCTATGGACTCAAGGTACCTCCCATAAAGATCCCGAGGCAAAACTCAAAAGTTCACTTTTTTGCCATATTTACGAAAATGCCACTGGGCACCCCCAGTGCACGCGGAGCATCCTTCTAAGCATCTAGTGTGCTCGTTGAGCATCCTGTGCACACTGACAATCCACTAAGCATCCTCGTGGCTGTCTAACTAGAACCAAAGTATCCCCAAGACATGGCATGGCCCTGAATGCCTATGTCTTCCCCTGGACCAATGTCAAGGGGCTAACAGCTACCTAGGCAATCATAATGATACTAGGGTTCTAAGAGGTCATTTCCTTTTTATCCAATTGTGGAACCTACTGGATATTTTCATCTGTTGCATTAAATGCATTTTGTCATTTTATAACTAGTGGTGACCAAGTTAATTATGACGGTGAATGTGATGCTAAGTTTTCTGTCGCAATGTACAGCCATTGTCTCTTTAACGAGGCTCGTTTTAGAATATGTTCTAGTTTCTCATCCACCAAATCAAAATTCTTCTAACAATCCCTATGAGGAAAACCTCATACTAATCGAGATGACCCTATCTTTGTGATACCCCTCGATTCTAGAGCCACGGGTGATCAAGTCCGAGCACAGATCCGAGGGATACCAAACAATTAATATGTAAACAAGCAAGAGTGCAAAAGAATTAAAAATAAAATAATACGCTAAAAAGAATTCTAAATATAAAAATTCTCCAAAATAATAGATTAATATAATTCAATCTTTCTAATCTGTACAACTCGGGAATCCATCTAGTGGACCCCTAATAAGTCCAAATGAAAAATAAATTACAGAACCAAAATCCAAAACTAAAATAAGAACGAAAATCATATGTAGTCGGAAGAGTGAGTAACTGTATCTGCTTCGTCACAATCAAGCTCTAAGCCTGGTACTAATGAACACCTAAAAAATAAGAGTGGGTGAGGCCCACATGTAAGTTCCATCCTACTACAATCCATACATAAACCCGATACGCAGATACATCCTAGATAGCTCGGCAATAACTAAAATAGTCCATATAGATATAGATACACACTATAGGACGCTCACTAGTCTATAGTGTAGTTCAGCCTGCATAGAAGGTAACATGTAAATCGCACTTTCCAATGGCCATGTACACCTAGACCTATCAGGGAACATTAGCAATATCCAGTTACCCATCCTTTGCGATATACGCACCCGTTATCCTGAGACTTAAGCTCATATCACAGCACCATAAGTCTATATATATAAATCCTTCCTAATACAGAAAAATAAAACAAACATCCGTTATGTCGTTCAACTGTTTTAGTTGGCAGGACATACATCCATGTAGGATTTAACTGTTTTAGTTAATATATTCCGTATGTATGAATAGGTAGGACTTAGCGTTTTTAGCTAATCCATCCTTAATATGCCACCGTCCCATACCAGTGCATATGATGCATTTGATCTATAAATGATGCACACTCATTAGAACGTCAAATACATCCAGAGTCCAACATAATAGAAATCAGAGATAGACAAGATTCGATTATGCATCCAGTACATGATTAAAATCACGAAACCTTAGTTTAAATTGTTCGAGTAATGATAAACAATTTAAACTATCCATTTCCATATAATTGACAGAACAAAAATTATAACAGTTCAGCAATTAACATCCATAACCTGATATAATGATTATTAGAATTATAACATGAGCACATTATACTAAAATTCTCAACCAATACTTTCATACTAGTTCATTTTAATTACTAAAACAAAGACTAGTAATTAAATCCTCTTAAATCCTTGACGGCATGCAAATAAATATTTAAATCCCAAGACGTCCATTTAATCCTCAATTATAAATCATGTGCCTGATATAATGACACTCAGAAGTATAACCAGAGTACATTATATAAAACCCCAAA